TTGAAGCTTCTGCAAGAATGAGCTCCAGCCGTGAAGAGGTCTGCAAACCGGCGCGACGAAGCAAAGTGTGGACGGATTGCATCAGTCTGAGCGTCGTATTGAGGCCAAACGGCTGCAGGACAACGGGACTCAATGTACAAATCGGATAAAAAAGAGTCTCCGTAACACTTTATCCGTCTAGTCAGTGGCCGTGCTTCCCAAAAGGTTTTTCCCTTCCATTTCGCGTTCGAATCCCATTTGAGGGAGGAGGGAGGGGGAAACCACCGTCCTTCCGAGTAAAAGTGACAGTAGCCAACTTGTACTGTATCATCGCGTCATTACTTAGCGTCACCTGAGTTCTTGTTTCTTTCCGATTCCAACAACCGCTAAACAACTGACAAACTGATATTCTTAAATGATTTAAAGAGGGGTGGCTAAGCTTTTCCCAAAAGACGCCATTACATTTCACTTAGCCTTGCCTATTAAAAAGCCATTTCGACCAGACTCGACTCAACTCACCTGAATTTCATCAACAACTCTGACTCGTTTCGGTACACAATCGTGATGCGACCAATCCAGCCCACAGCCACGCATGTCGGATGGTGACAGGACAATTTGTAACATTCAGTTTATAGTGTGATTTCGCGCTTAAACATACGTGTGTTTGCCATTGCAATCGAAGAGATTACTTATTTTAGATGCAAGTAGTACTTGAGACTATCAATAATTTTAGAAGAAGTATATTTATCAATGGATAACTGGAATACTCAGGCATCACTTCTTGAACCACCTTGAGCGACCTTGAGTGTACAAGTTCTTGTCTTTCATGAAAGATAAAGAACCAGACCTAGTCGGCTTTCCATCTCGAAGACTACGGACGTGATACCTTTTGTTGCAGACGCGTTTGTCCTCCTTTCTAAGGCTGATGGATCAATTCGCTTGTTTCGAGTCTTGTTGTGGTAATGCAGGCTGTGCTCTATCTTGAGACTGTGAGGAGGGCGATGAACTGTCGTCAGGGTAAGGCAAGTTTGTTCTGGTTGTTTGTTGTCTGTTAACATGGTTCAAACATTCGATCGCAGGAAATGCGATCAAATCAGTTTTGGCCCGAAAGATGCTCCGGAATATGCGGCAGGTTCTATCAGACGAGGTGACATTTCGGCGCCTTGCCGGGCAGGCAGATGCGCCCGGAGTACAGAAGGTGAGGACAAAGGCTGTAAAGACGAGCATGTTTTGATCACCGCCTTGGAGTCCAAACAGGCTGATGTGCAAAAAGGCCTAAGTTCAACTTGACCACAGGGTCTTGTCGACGTGTCGGCGAAGCGATGTCAAATGTGGTGAACATGTGCAACTTAGCAACTCGAAAGATTGACAAGATTCAACGGCACAAAAGCATCTTGTGACTGTGGTTGACGAGGCAGAGTTCCAAAACCATCCTTTAGCCTTGCTTAGTTTAGGTCAATTGAAAGTGTGTAAAACAAATTCTTCCGCCACTTTCATCAAAAGACGACTGTGAATTCATCTCGATCAGCTCTCGAGTGACTTTAGTAAAACGTTCTCGCTAACGCTGAGGTAATCTCATAAGACACTACTGCAAATGTTCTACTTATATATTTTTATCTATCTATCTATATATGAATATATATATATATATGTAAAAATGAATCAATTCACTTTATACCTCATAAAAAAGCATGGTTATCGGTTTTGTGGACTCGTTAATTTTAATATGAGTATAAGAATGATACCCCCTAGATGATTTTTTTACATGTCGGTTGAAAACTTTGCTCGTTTCTGCCGGAACCAAAGGAGTTTGCTTTGGGGACAACATTGTCAAGAAGTGGCCTTATCCGTTACCAAAGAATGGTTGTCTTTGACTTGTGACTGTTAAATTGTGCGAAAAAGTCATCGGCTCACCGTCCCGTGATAAAGTAACAAGTCCAAGGTAACCCTGCTTTGGTATCCGATGAGGCCAATTTACGAATCCTTTCCACTCGACTTCTCAAACCAAACGAAGGGTATGTAAGTATAAATCTTCTTAGGGATTCTTTGAAACCCAGCATACCTTCATATCATCAAGAATGCTTCAGTAAAGTCGATCGACAGACGATCAAAAGGAGTTTTTCTGCGTCTTTTGGTAGGATCAATCTTGGAAACATTGCATTATACACTTCTATTTGAAATGGGAATGAGCTCAACAAGTTGCAGAGTCAGGAGAACTTGACTTGGTTCAATTTTCTTGTAAATAATTATTTCTGTCGCGTAAGGGCAGACAAAAAGGCTACACAGAATAATCACGACCATAGGATGGTGAGGCGAGATCTTCTTTATACAGTTTGACAATCAAAATTCCTTACTCAGTTC